GGCTTTCGCGCGTGGGTGCGAGGGACTCCCGGCGGAAGCCCCAGGGGGTTGCCTCTCCGCAAGGGATCACACTCACGTTGGCGATCAGGAGCCAGCAGCGCAGCCGGAAACGCGTTACAAAGAACCTCCCTACACAGCCTGGCTTTAGCAGTCGCTTCCCTTTTATCCCGCCACTGACGAGGGGCTGTCTCGCAAACCTCCAGTGATATTCCCTATCAAGTTTATGCCTTTGTTTTCATTGGAAAGTTGCCAATCACTCATTTGAGTTTCTTCGATGTTCCGGCAAGCGGTCGCTTAAAATAATGCAAGTATTCCGCACTTTTATAAGTCAATATTTCTACCCATAAATATTCAGTATATGCATTGTAGTGATGTAAATTAGTTGTATTATTGGAATGCGGTGTGCAAACTCTTATCAAATGGGAAAGAGAAATACAGAGACAAGATAAAAGCAATTTCTATTATTCCTGAGTACTTGATGTGTAAGCTAAGTTTCTCATTCAGATGTGAGAAACAGAGGCAGAAAATGTAAATGCATTCGAATTGTTTCGACCACGTCGTAAATTGTTACTTCTATCTTCAGTTTTTATTAGCACTTACTGAATTATAAAAGAAAAACTACTGTACATTTAATGTATAAGATGCAGGGATATAAGAAATATTAATAGGATATCTGGCGCTGTTTTCTCAACGTTTTTGGAAACATTTGTACCTGAATAATACATACCGTACTCATAAACATGTGCGTAATAAATCTAGTGGACCTACTGTTAACAAAAATGTGTACGTCATAAACTGAAAAATATGCAAATTATGTGTCGATATTCTATTTAAAAATTCACAAACCATTATTTCTGAATTTCAAAGTACGAATGAGATATCACAACACATGGTACTATGTGCTTATAGTGGCATGTATAAGGCAGCCAATGAAAAGCTAATAAACAATTTGTTACATTTTTTCCGTTGATCCTACTGGTCGGTTGGTGTTTCGGCCAACTTTCGCGTACTTGCATTAATTCCGGAGACCTTCGCCGGAAACTCTTTGATTTCACATAAAGGTTTTGCTTTCGTGACAGCAATATTGATATTTAGATATAATACACATTACAGTACACTGTCAATAGTATTTAGGCTGCAAAATATAATCTGAATCCACTATTTATTGTTAAAAAATATGATGTGTTTTTTGAGTTTCCGTTGCATTAGCCCATAAGAACGTGTGTTATCTGGTTCTCTTTGTGCAGCACTAACTTTTAAAAAATATGGGCTAGAAATGTTTGTTTTCTAAGGCCTTTAATTGTGATTGCATTTTCGTTGACTGCTTATTATAAAAAGTTGTATTTTTCAGGTGGGCGCTACTAGTTTTAGACTAAAACTAAAAGTGTCCAAGATTTTCAGATTTTTTTTTAGATTCTGAGAAAGAGCCTAAAATTCCGGAGTAGAGTACTTCATTGGCCTAAAATTAGCCTCTAATTATAAATGTGGTATAGTTGAGTTTGGGTTTGGGTGCTACTAGATGGCTTGGGATGAAGCGAATTGGCGAAGTTTCACATTGCCTCTGGCGAAAAGCTAGTCGCCGAAATTTGCGCAGGCCGTTCGTCGCTTTAACTAGAGGACGACGCCTCATTATAGACCAAAGTTGTTGTTTTATAGTGAGGCAAGGCCTAGCAATTTATGTTTACAATGTTGGACTAATCCAAAATTACCATTATCTAATGTACAACTTTCCTAAAAGAAATGCCTAGTGTATTTAACACTTAATTGCGTAAGTGGAAACTGCCTTAAAATACGATTGGTCTGAGAGTGACTTGTAATTCTTTTATGCATTAAATAGGCTTTTTATTCTGAATTATTTCGAATATGTAAGCGTTTTCATGTGTGTAACACACGATTATTAAACACGTGCAATAAACTCTCGTCACCACGAACTCGCATAATACGAACAAGTTTTGAATTCTGGCAATGAAACATGCTAATACATGCAAGAGTTTATAAATATTAATCTAATAATACGAATTATTATGATAGAACGCCGATTATTTCGGTCCCTTGTATCTAGTAAACAAGAATTTTCTGTACTTCATGTAGTGAGTATGAGGATTTGCTTCCAGTTGTCAGTTAACTTTGAGAATTAGTCCCGTAAGTGGGGAGCAGGTTATACTCCTGGAGGTTTCTCCACGCTGGACCATGAAAATCGGCGCGGACCATAACAGCGGCCTTCAGATTTCCTCCTCTAGCTATCTCACCATTGGGGCATCGCACCAGTTATGAAACGCAGGCCAATGTGTTGGGGAGAACAGGGGCAACTAACCTAAGGGGAGAGCAGGAGCACAAGGATGAAAAAGGAAAGATCGCGTGCGATGCGTTTATTCGGGTACTGCTTCAGCATTCACGTAATATAGATATTCGCTTGAAATCCGCAAATCCTACTGACCAGTGCGTCGAATAGCATTCCCCTGCATAAAGAGATTGAATGGGATCTACGTATGTAACAGATTTCAAAAAATTCAGGCAGTCGTGTGTCAAACTCAAGGTCTCTCAGTAAATAATTTTGCAGCGGCAACGATGTTGCTACTGAATCAATACAAAGGGTCACATACCTAAAATACAGTAAGTAAGAACAACAAAAGATAAGAAACAAAATATTACCTATTTTAGCTTTATTAATTGTTTTATTTTTAGATTTTCTAGTCAATTCTTGTTGATTTTTTCATTCTATTGCACGAAAAAAATGAAAAAAATAAATCTTTGCTAAAGCAAATAATTACTAATGAAACTCGTTCCTAGAGAAGACGCAGACGTAACTTAGAACATATTTTACTTACAAGACTTCCCAATATCACATAAAACTTGGTATTATTAACGGTAATGATACATAATAAATATCAACGTTCACCAATTTGTGTTAATTAACACCTCCAAACTTGCAGATTTTTTTTACTTTCTCGCTACGGAGTAGAGAGAAAATTATGTGCGGAAAAAGAGAAAGTTATGTGCGCATTTTCGGCAGAAAAATTCTTACAATAGGGCTCTGGCAACAAAAAAATAGATAAATCCAGTTGATAAATTTAGAAAATAAAACTCTTTCACATGGTGTAGTCAGAATCCAAATTTTGTCAGTCCTTGATACCGAAAAATCGAATGACGGCAGAACTCTCTGGCCGTCTGCGAACAACACTAGTGGCGAAATCGTTCTGACGATTTTGTCCAAAATTGATATTCCCCAATCGATCTGGCTGATCGCGTCACCTTGAGTTTGAAACCGATATTTTAATTTTGGGAGGTACTTTACATGAAGCCCCTGGGACATTTTCCAAATTTTCAAAAATATTGCTCCATCGTTTTTGATTAAATTTTGTTGTTGGATAGTATGAAGAACGTTTAAGAGAATTGTGCAGGTTTCATTTTCGTTGAAAATCTTAATTTTTCGAACATTGCAAAAGTTAAAATTTTTTTCGGAGTCATTCTACAACTGGAATATTAAAGAAGGAGATTCTTTCATTTAATGAAATCTGTTCCTTAAATATAAATTATATAATAAGGTCATGTCTAATTTTTCGAAAATTTTGAGTACTCTTCGCGTTATTTTGCATGAAAATACGGGCGAGAAAGTACGTGCTGTTTTAGGATGTGCCGCTATTTTGTGCGTTGCTGGCCGATTATATCCCGCTTAATTATTTTTTTATTTTTTTTATTTTAATGATTTACTTACAGACGGTAGCACTGCAGGCGGAGATTTTGAATTAAGGTTAAAATAATAAGACTCATTTTTCCATTTCAGTTTCTCTTTGTTAATTTTCCGTGTTTCGAGAACAGCTTTGTCATCTATTGAGAAAGGGCTTGCTTAACCCGAAATGCGATATTATTTGGAATGTAACATATTATTTACATTGCAAACCTGGTTTTCTGCCGCTTAAGATTAAAAATCCACATTTGGTTGTAATTATTTCTCCTTCAGCACGCGATGATTTTTGGAAATATTAATTTTGCAACAGATTCTCGAATGTATCGAAAAACACATTATTAGAGCTCAAAGGTGCAAAAAACATAATTTAGGAAAAATTTGGGGACATATTTTTAAAGTTTCTTCAAGTAGTCGAAATTGATACAAAAGGAATAGAATATCCTTATTTTTCTTACAATTATCCACTCACAACTGTGTTCACTAAAATAGTATTGAAGTACTTCCTAGAAGAGCAAAACTTCTCATCATAAGGAAATTCTCGAGAAATAATTGGAAGAAATATTGTCTAATAATGTTTTTTTGAAATGAACCTTTTTTAATTTGTTCAAAACTTTTTTCACATTTCGACGGACTTCATACATTTTCGTTTAATGCTTTTGTTTTCAGTGATTCACGAGATCATGAAATTTATAATTTAAATGTTAATAATGGGAGGAGTTCAAAACTTTGAATATTTTTAATGTTTAACAATTCAAGAGGTTTAATGAAAGTGGCACTTGAGTGATAATTGAGAGTACCGAACTCTGTTCCCAGAAAAGAGAGAAATTGGGAATAAATTATAAGAAATGTTTGTTAAATCACTTTTAGAAACTCACAATTTGATGTAAACGTTGATATTTTTTTAATTCCTTGGTATCATTAGTCGTATTGCAAATCATGAAAAATCTAAAACAAATATATCATCGGTAATTGTCAAAAAATCAAAATTTGAAGGAAAAATTGATTTTTGTATCTATAAGCCCACTTCGCTTTATTTGAGCAAAATTATAAAGAAATGTTTGGGGCTGTTTTTTATTAAATTTAACTTAGTGAACGCTTGCTATTAATTAGTACCCTCGAAATGAAATACCTTTGAAATTCTCTGAAACTTATTTTAATATATGCGTATCGATAGGAGAAAAATTATTTCCAAAACATCTTAGGTACGATTTTGATTGGTGTTATTCACAGACAAACGAAAGAACGGATGATTGGACGGAAGGAGGAAGGAACGAAAGGACTTTGGCTGACGGGTGGGCAGATGAATGAGCGGATGAATAGATGCACGGGCGAGCGAATGTAATACGGATGAACGGAAGGTCGGACGGATGGACTAACGGATCAATGAACGGACGAATGGACTGACGGACGATCACTTTTTTAGTATCTCGTAATCGTGTATTTCCCCTGAAATCTCATATTTTTTTTGCACAATCCCATAATGTATTCTCTTTTACATGTATGGGAAAGTAAAAGTCTTGGAAGATAAACTATAAAGTAATGAAAATGATAAAATAATGACTGTGATATGATAATTTTTTTACATTAAAAATATTTTTAACTATTTTAAAAAAATTAAAAAGTAAATTTAAATGTCAGATTAATTCGAATTTTTTCATAATTATAATTCGTGTTCACGAAAGCTATGTCTGCGAAAGCTCGATTAGAAAATGCCTTATGAAATTATGAATCGTTATTTTAGCAGTAACAATTACAAATATATTATTTGAATATTTCAAGGATGTGTCTCGTTTAAACACTAACATTTAGGGATATTCACGGAAAGAAATATTTATATTTCTTTTAGTAACAAAGTGTGTGTATTTTATCTAGTACGTTCTAAACACACAATTATATTGCTTTTAGGAAGCCGGAAGTAGATTGTTTCCTTTGGAGAAAGGAAGAAATTCTAGGTTTTATAGTAGTCCAGATATTTAGATTGTGTGCATTGTGAATCACATAATCTCTCTTGTTTGTGGTAATTTTCGAGATAACTCAAACACTCTAAATGACTTGTGTATTTATTTTGTAAGGGAGTTTTTGCTCTGACTTCTTTCAGTCCAACTTGACACGAGACAATTCCATACTTCACGTTTACTCACGCAGTTTGAACGACATCAAGGGAAGGCGTGGTTTGATTTTCACATGCTGTGACACGAAACAGCCGACACGCAGGCTCCGTTAAAAATTATTTATGAGCAGCGGACCGAAACGATTCGGTTCTCCCCGAGCGTCACCATCTCTTTCGCTGGCGCTCCTTCATCAGCAGTGCGGGGCGGGGCGGGGCGGGGAGTGTCTCAGCGATCAGGGCGGAGGACGGAGCAGGGAGCGTGCGGGGCGGGGGCGGTGCCGGTGACGCAGCGGCGGTGATCAGCGCAGTCCCCCATCACCCTCCTCCGCCCGCGAGCTCCGCGCTTTTCCTCCGCGGCCCCTCGCAGCCTCAGTGCCGGCTTCCTGCCGCCTTCCTGCCGACTTCCGCGCGTCGCGGGCGCTGGCGAAGATCAATGGCCTCCGCGCACTCCTCCCCTTAGCCGCGTTCGTCGCCGCCCTCCTTCTGCCCTAGCCCGTATCACATTCTTGGCTGGAAGGTGAAAGACGAAGTCATCAAACGCAATTTTCTGGAGAAGCAATGAAGGTTTTATTTCGATAATTACATGGCAATGTACGAAATAAATCTATTTAACCACAAACGTCAATCACGTGAGTATGCCACTACGAATTATTTCCAATCATTAATGATATGCACGTAATCATGGAAAAAACATATTTATTACTCCTGAAAAACTATATTTTACTTTCTTTTTACTTTCTCATTTTTTATTTGTTCATAGTGTTACACGAAATTTAATTATATCATAGTAGACAAGGTAGTGAATTATATTGTTTTATCTGCACGAGAAAAATCAATTCCTATTTTATTGAAACTACAGGTATGATGACAAAATTTTAATATATTTTGGTGATAAACCTTGTTGATATACTTGGGGTAATCATTAGCTATATGTTTAACATAGGCCGCAAAAGACGCATTTACTTTATGGAAAAAAGGAGAAATTGTTATATATGTGCGTGTGTGTCGAGAGCGAAATGTTGAGAACACTACTTGCACTTTGCGTATTATTTGCATTTTTGAATCATTAAATAGAAATTAGAAGGTGGTTTATGGAGGGGAATAGTTCGAGCTTAGTTACTTCTTGATTCAAGTTCGCCTGCATTGCTTTCACGATATTTCAATCATTTGTGTTGGAACTAATTAAATTACACTTATATTTTCATTTCTGAGGTGAAGTTGATGATAGGAGATTATTTAGATGGGGGATGTTGTGTTCTGAGAAACCAACCAGGCCACGACTACGCAGTGAAAACTTGTCTCAATTGACACTCGAATTGACAACAATCGAATTCGCGAACTGAGACGATTTTCAGTGTCCCTGAACCATTTACATCGGTTAAACTAACCAGAAGACCTTAGAGCATCGTGCAAGAGCATCGTCGTAGAGCTCTTATTGTTGATCTTTGATATAGAAAAAGTGGTTAAAATATTCGTTGTGCAGTAGTCATAATCCACGTTCGGCGTGTTCTTGATACCGAAATATTTTTTTTCCGAAAACGTCTGTCTGCCTGCCTGTTTGTCCGTGCGTTCGTCTGTGATCAGCAGTAGTACATAAACCGTCCAGACGATTTTCTCAAAACTGACATCCCGGATCGATATAGCCGGAATTGACACCTTGCATATTTGAAACAGATGTTTTCATGTTGGGGGTATATTATCTGAAGCCTCTGTACTTTCAAAATTTTCAAGAAAATCGCTCCAGAGTTTTCATTTTTTAAAGAGAAAATTACGTTTAAAATGGTGCAGTTCTCATTTTCGTTGAACTCTTGTCAATTTTTGAAAATTGTATACTTTAGTTTTTTCGGCACACTCCTTCAAAGGAAATAAAATAAATAGTTTTGTTGTTATTTAAAAATAGGTTTTTAAATAAGGGCAAGAACATTTCTTTAAAATTATGAGTACTTTTTACTTTTATGTTGCTTGACGTTAATTTATAAAAATATTTTTTCTCATAAACGGCTCCAATACTTTAAATATTTTTTTTCACAAGAGGAACCAAGCCAGCAACAAAAATGCCGCAGGTCACATTTTCGTTACCTCTAATTGTGAATATTTCAAAAGTGTGAAATATTTTTGGCATCTTCCTGCAAGTACAATATTGAAAACATATTTTTTCTGAAGTAAATCTTTTCTTTAAAATTGGATCTTGAAACAGTCGAAGGCAAACTTTGAATTATAGAAACTTATAAATGCAAATGTTCTGTTTTGAATTTAAAACGTCGAGATGTTTTAGTCTGCCTGCGAAGGTGCTGTAAGGGTAACATGAATGGGGTACTCAGAGTAAAAACCCGAGTTCAAAACCCCGGCTGAAAAGACATTTTTTGCTAGTACGAAGTACTTTTAGAGGTGCAGCTACGGTGACATTGCATAACCGTTACAATGAATGTGAGAAAGTAATTAAAGTTATGACGCAACTGATTTAGTATTAAAAATATCTCGATTATTTTGAGAGTATTTGTTTCTGATCAGTTTACTGAATCTCTAGCGAATATGTTGTACCTTACTGTATGGGTATTGGCTTAAGGTGTCGATGGATCTACATAAAATATCTTCACTACATTTGTTAAGACCTCGAGTAATCCATGGATTTTTTCACCTGACTTTAATGACGTGGTAGTCTCAGGTAGACTTCTGCGTATATCGCATAATTTTCTAAAACGATCATACTTTTCTTCATAGTTGCCCCGGAAAGCTTAATTCTTCGGGGCCAACAATCAGCATTACAAGATGAAGAAAAAGAGGAATAGGAAGATGTACCTCCCCAACTTCTGAATGGAAACCATTGCATGTGCCCACGCGGAGTGCATGGCTGCAAGCGTGGTGGTGTCGGTGCATAGCAGAGACGGCGCTGGCGGCCGGGAGGGAGTGCGGATGTGCGGCTAAGAGGCGCGGCGGCCCGCGGCGGAGTGCGACGCGTCCCCGGTAGCCGCCGGGCCGCATTCCTCATTGGTTCCAGCCCGCAGTGGCCTCCGCCTCC